AAATGAAACAAGAAATAGAAGGATAAACTGAGCATTCCGAATTAACTACATGGCAATCTTGCAAGGCTACATCGAATCCCTAGAATGAGATTAGTTACACTTCATGTTTACAAATGATTTAACATAAAAATATATAACATGAGTGAACATAGAATTGAGAAGAAGAAACCCTTGAAGCAAAACTGATGTTGAAATCCTTCAAGAATGGCCTTCGGTCTTGGTTCTCCAGATGTGTTGTAACATGAAGGATGAGCTGCTGTGGATGAATGGTTGTTGCGGATGGGAGAGAGAATGGACAGAAAAATGGAGTTGCTAGGTGTATGAATAATGGTATGATGGAATCCCCAAAGAAGTGAGACTTGCATGGATTTTAAATTGGAACTTCTAAGGAGAACATGCGGCTGGAAGTAGAATAATGGAGCTGCCAATCTGAAATGATGATGGAATGAGGTGATTTCTGGACTAGCAAGGCACGGCACAAGGGAACACAAGCATGCTTGTGCTTATTTAATTGAAGATGCATGTGGAATGGCTGCAAGGATGCAGTGGACAAGCTGGAATTGTTCCCACATGCTGGAAAGGGTATGAAAGGCACGGCATGGCTTTGCTTTGAGATGAACATGTGGCTGGATGGTTTAGTTTAATGAAGACACATGTGTTGCTGCAAAAGGGAGCTGGAAATGTAAATGGAATGAATTAAGTAATGGAAGTGCATGTTCTTGGTGCAAAAGGGAATGGAATGCACGGCAAGATTGATACATGCATGTGAATGCATGCTTTGGTGTTTAAAGTGAATGGAAGCCACGGCCAGGTTGTGAACATGCATGTGATTGCATGTTTTGGTGTTAGAACCACATAATCTGAATTCAATGATTTTGCCTTGCCTAGAATCACCCAATATGGCCGAATGCACCACCTTACACTTCCCCATGTGTTCCTGAAATTCCATGCAGCCAAAGTAGCTCCTAAATTCTTCATTTGGACTTCAAATTAACTCCCTAGAATCCTCTCCACGTTTGGAATAATGTTCAGCTACCAAGGGTTGTTTTTACTTCATTTGTCTTCCCATTGATCCAAATACACACTTGACTGCACACTAGCACCAAATAATGTAAAAACACAACTAGCTTGATCCAAAAACATCGCAAAACTGTCAAATAAGGATGATATAAATGTACACAAAATGTATACATCAAATACCCCTAAACCTGGTATTTGCTAGTCCTCGAGCAAACTTGAAACTAAAACACACAAAACACTATCATCTAACTAAACCACTTTCGATGGCCAAACGATTGCACTGAGCATGTGCAACAAGCCTTTGAACCCCTAGGTGTCCCTAGTTGGAGGAGTTGTGTCTCCTGAGGGTTTACAGTGATGACACCCACAAACATCTACAAAATCTGCAAACAATTTGGCTAAAACAGGCTTTAAACAAACTAATAAGAACCAATGAAGATTTTGTTATACAATCAAACTCAAAAGCTTCCTACTCCAAAGAATGATATCAATTGTGATGTATAAAGATATTTCACTATGTCTTACAACTTCAAGGTCACCATACCCAAATGCTTAAGAAAGAATTCGCCTCAACTCTACTCCTCACAGCTTCCACTCAAGTTCTCATTCAGATCCTAAGGTGTAGTCTCTCCACTAACATATATGAGTGAAATTATGTAAAGGAAATCAAAATTCTCACATATGAGATCTGAAATGAAAGCACAATTTTTTTGAGTAGATCTCATGAAATGAATCAAATGCTAAGAATATAGACAACACACACACTTACCATCACCCATGAATACATCCTCAATGATCAGCTAGGTCTTTCTCAAGATTGTAATGTAAGGCTTAGGTTGTAGGTTACGAAAGAAGTGATATGAAATACTAGAGCTTGGGGCATACCAAAGTGTCCTTGAGGTCCATGCTCTTCACTTGCATTTGGCTTCTTTCTTCTTTGTTTTTGGCGTCCAGGCCCTATGCCTTATAATGAAGAGATTTGGAACTTGTTTCCACTTGATTCTCTTATTTTTTTTAACTTCTTTTTTTTTTAGAAACACACTTCAACATAGGTGCCTTCGGTACATGCCACAATCTTGATCTAATACTCAAGCTACCTTTAGACGTCATCACATTGGTATTCCCTAAACTATAAGGTACGGCTTGTATTGAGCTAGAATGGGGTAGAGTATGGTATGGGTGATGAAAGAATTAGGCAAAAGTGTTTGGCTGCAAAGAGGGTGAATGGAGCACACAAAGGGATAGGATTTAAGCCTTTTGGTAGTTAAAACATGCATAGCCTAACATCATCTCATTGAGCTCATTCATGAATGATACTAAACACATGGTATCTGCAAAGTAGAGTAATTCTTAGCATCCAAACAAAATAGAAGTAATGAGATCATTTAAAGTGAAATTTGAAAGAAAAGATAGGAGTTGAAACACTTTAAACCCTCTCAAAGAAGCAATTAGGCTCAAAATAACTCACTAGGGTAGTCTCCACTATTCTTCTTCCAGAATTTGAGTATGGTACCTCTATCATCATATCTCCAAGAATTACATCTTTATACAAGACACAAGATACAAAACTTTTTCACAGCAACCCAAAAGTTTGTTTGCAAACATAGCCCTCATATACATTCATATTAGTAAGCAAAAACACACTTAACCAAACATAAAAAAAAAAACAAACCTTCCATTCCATAATAAATACCCCCAAACCTATCATAAGCATTGTCCTCAATGCTTAAAATTGTATGCAAAGCAAGTAGGCAAAGAATATGGAATGGTAACAACATAAACACAACAAGAAGATAGGACACAAACCACACTAGGTTGCCTCCTAGCAAGCGCTTTATTTAATGTCTAGGCAAGACATTGAAGCTTGTTCATGGTGTGTAAACTCAAGCAAATCGACAATCTGATACACTTGCCCTTCCTCCACTTGGTGCAAATACGGTTTCAATCTCTGTCCATTGACTTTGAAAGACGTGCCATTCTTCATGTTCTCTATCTCCACGGCTCCGTGGGGAAATGTTTGTAGCACTTTGAATGGTCCTACCCACCTAGACTTCAATTTACCTGGAAAAAGTCTCAAACGTGAGTCATACAAAAGTACTTTCATACCTTGGTGAAACTCCTTCCTTAGGATGGCTTTGTCATGATAGAGCTTAGTCCTTTCCTTGTAGATTTTCTCATATGCCTCATTTCTGAGCTCTTCCAACTCATTAAGTTGGAGCTTCCTTGCTATTCCAGCATCCTTCTTAATGGCCCAATATGCTCGGTGTTCAAGCTCCATTGGCAAATGACAAGCTTTCCCAAACACAAGGCGATAAGGACTCATGCCAATGGGGGTCTTGTATGCTGTTCTATATGCCCATAGTGCATCATTCAACCTCAATGACCAATCCTTCCTTGTAGGGCTCACAGTCTTCATCAAAATGTTCTTGATCTCCCTATTGCTAATCTCCACTTGTCCTGAGGTTTGAGGATGGTACGGGGTTGCCACTTTGTGGTTGATGTTATACTTCTTCATCAATGATTCAAAGGGTTTGTTGCAGAAATGGCTACCACCATCACTAATAATAGCTCTTGGCGTTCCAAACCTACAAAAAATCACATCTTTAAGAAAGTGCAAAACAACCTTATGATCATTAGTTCTTGTAGCAATGGCTTCAACCCATTTGGACACATAATCTACTGCCACTAATATGTATAAGTAGCCAAAAGATGATGGAAATGGTCCCATGAAATCGATTCCCCAAACATCAAAAAGCTCTATCACCAAAATGTTGTTCAATGGCATCTCATTTCTTCGGCTAATGTTCCCCATCTTCTGGCACCTATCACACTTAGAACAAAAATCAAACGCATCTTTGAATAAATTAGGCCAAAAGAAACCCGATTGTAACACTTTGAGAGATGTCTTTTTGGCACCAAAATGTCCTCCACATGCCAATGTATGACTGAACGTTAGAATGCTTTGTTGCTCACTCTCTGGGACACACCTCCTAATGATTTGGTCAGGGCAATATTTAAACAAATATGGTTCGTCCCAAACGTAGTGCTTTACCATGGCAAGGAACTTTTTTCTTTCCTGAAAAGAAATGTCATTTCTCATTACACCACAAGCAAGATAATTAACGAAATCAGCATACCACGGTTCTTTTTCTTGAACAACAAGGAGTTGTTCATCTGGAAATGATTCATTTAGAGGCAAAGGTTGTCCAACTCCATGGTTCTCATTAAGTCGTGACAAATGGTCAGCCACAACATTATCACTTCCCTTTTTATCTCGAACCTCCAAGTCAAACTCTTGTAGTAAGAGTATCCATCTAATTAAGCGTGGTTTAGCATCCTTCTTTGTCATCAAATACCTAAGGGCTGCATGATCAGAAAACACAATAACTTTAGATCCCACAAGGTATGACCGAAACTTCTCTAAAGCAAAAACAATAGCAAGCAACTCCTTTTCAGTTGTGGAATAGTTAAGTTGAGCATCATTTAGAGTCCGGCTTGCATAGTAGATCACGTGTTGAAGCTTGTTCACCCTTTGCCCTAAAACTGCACCAATAGCATAGTCAGAGGCATCACACATTAATTCAAAAGGTAAAGACCAATCTGGTGCCATAATGATAGGGGCCGAGGTTAATTCTTGCTTCAAAGTATTGAATGCATCCATACAAGCTGTATCAAAATGAAATGCAACATCTTTAGCTAACAGATTGCATAATGGACGAGTGATCATTGAAAAGTTCTTAATGAAACGTCGATAAAAACCCGCATGTCCCAAGAAACTTCTCACCCCCTTCACGGTCGTGGGAGCTGCCATATTGGTGATGATGTCAATTTTGGCTTTGTCTACCTCCATTTCTTTGCTAGAGATTACATGTCCCAACACAATTCCTTGTTTTACCATGAATTGGCATTTTTCCCAATTGAGAACCAAATTTGTTTCCTGACATCTTTGAAGTACTAAAGAGAGATGGTTAAGACATTCATCAAAAGAAGAACCAAACACTGAAAAGTCATCCATAAATACCTCAATGAATCTTTCCACCATGTCAGAAAAGATTGCCAACATGCATCTTTGGAATGTTGCTGGAGCATTGCAAAGTCCAAAAGGCATTCTCCTATATGCAAATGTACCAAATGGGCACGTGAAGGTAGTTTTCTCTTGATCCTCCGGAGCAATTGCAATTTGATTGTAACCTGAGTAACCATCAAGAAAACAATAGTGTGAGTACCCTGCCAATCTCTCAAGCATTTGATCTATAAAAGGCATAGGAAAGTAATCTTTTCTAGTGCTAGAATTCAACTTCCTGTAGTCGGTGAAAACACGCCAACTAGCTGTGGGCTTTGTGGGCACAAGCTCTTTGTTTTCATTTGTCATCACTGTGATTCCCACCTTCTTGGGTACCACCTGAATAGCACTCACCCATTTGCTATCCGAAATGGGATATATGATTCCCACATCTAACAACTTCAACACTTCACTCCTCACCACTTCCTTCATGTGTGGATTGAGCCTTCTTTGTGGCTCACGGGTTGACTTTGATCCATCCTCCAAAAGAATCCTATGCATGCACATAGTAGGGCTTATTCCCTTGATATCTGCAATAGACCACCCAATAGCTGATTTGGACTCTTTTAACACTCTCATTAGTTTATCTTCTTCATTTGGATTCAGGTCAGAAGCTATGATAACAGGAAGAGTTTCAAATTCAGCTAGATATGCATATTTAAGATGTGGTGGAAGTGGTTTAAGTTCAAGTTTTGGTGCCTTAACAATGGAAGGTATTAAATGTGACCTAGATGATTCTAAATGCTCAACAAGAGGTGAAACATTTAAAGGATACGGTGCCAATGCTTCCAAGGTAGCTACCACTTCCATGAGTGCATCTTCTTCATCAAACTCATCTTGAGATTGAGTCAAAACAGTTTGTAATGGTTCACTAGATTGTGCCTGCAAGAACTTAGAGAAAACAATTGAATCAAGCACATCAATGGCATAGCACTCAAGAGATGAAGAAGGATGAGAAAGAGACTCAAACACTTTAAATTGCACGGTCTCTCCTAGCACTGTCATAGTGAGGAGTCCATTTTGCACATCAATGATGGTCTTAGCCGTGGCCATGAATGGTCTTCCAAGCAAAATAGGCAACTCTCGGTCATGTATAGGAGCTTCTTCCATGTCCAACACTACAAAATCCGCAGGCAAGATTAGTTTATCAATTTGAACTAGAATATCCTCTACTATACCTCTTGGATACTTCACGGATCTGTCCGCAAGTTGTAATGAAATGGTGGTGGCCTTCAATTCCCCCAAACCTAGTTGAAGGTACACGGAATAGGGCATTAAATTGATGCTAGCACCCAAATCAAGCATTGCCTTCTCTACTTTCTTGTCCCCTATGGTGATGTTGATAGAGAAACTTCCTGGATCCTTGAGCTTTGGTGGGAGTTTTCTTTGCAACACTGCACTTACATTCTCAGACACCACTACCTTCTCATGTGGTCCATACTTCCTTTTGTAGTTGTTTAACTCTTTGAAGAACTTCCCATAAGCTGGCATGTTCCTAATGACATCAAGCAAGGGTAAGTTAACATTCACCTTACTTAGAATATCAAAAATTTCCTTAAATGACTTATCCTGCTTGCTCTTGGCAAGTCTTCCAGGGAATGGTATTGGTGGAGTGTAAGGTTTCTCGGCCTTGTGAAGATTTGGTGCTTCAAATGAGGAATTAGCATGGCTTGGTTCCTCATTTGGTTTCTCATTTTCTCCTTGAGTAACCCCTGCATTCACATGATCAAATTCATTAGTAACTTCATTGCCAACTCTATTATTGATAACCTTACCATTTCTAAGTGTAGTGATTGCTTTAGCTTGCTCTTGGTTCCTTTGGAGTATCACGGGTTGGCTTGGAAACTTTCCAACCTCTCTTTGGTTCAAGGCATCAGCAATCTGTCCCAATTGTGTCTCCATTTTGTTTAAAGCCGTCGAATGTTGTTGGAAAGTGCTATTTGAGAGCTCATGGTTGAGATAATGCAACGTAGTCCTTTGACCTGAGGAGTTCTTATACTCATGTCATATGAGAGCTCATGGTTGAGATAATGCAACGTAGTCCTTTGACCTGAGGCATCATAGTTGTCTTGTGGTTAGATCCTTGATCTTTAATTATGACTATGACAAAGTCACTCCTTCAGAGGGTGTCCACGACATAGTTGGGGTTAAGCCATTTAGCCATGGAGGCAAGTGAATGCGCAACAAGGGATCTCTAGTCTTCAAACCGTTTGAGGGAGAATACTCTAGGTTGTGATTAAGAATTTCTAGCCAGAGTATGAATGAGATTTAGGAAGCCATTCCAAATCACATTCAAGGTAATCATATAAGTAAGAGAATCACATTGGATAGTAGACATGAATAAACTATCAAACCAAACAATGTGGTCAATAGTATTGTATTAGAGAAAGACTGTATTGCATTGTAATCCCAAATTGGATAGGTTATCCACCTGTTCCGATTAGCTTGGGTAGCCATGACATACTGCTAGGTGTCACTCATGGTTTGTGGAAGCCCTAATGGTGTTTAATCACTATAGGGAGAATTGAAAGTAAGTTTCAATTCACAATTGATATAAAGAGTTCTAATTGCCCACTGCCTCAGTAAAATGAACCTAATGGATTGTACACCGAGTAAGGTAGAGATTGAAGAAACAACGGAGATGAGTAAGAATAATTAAATGCTTTAATTATTTATGGCTAGGATTAATTAATATGTTAATTAATTAAACGAATAAATTCGTTATAGACCTCGGGTTAGTTTTGGGCCGCAAGGCCCAATGGGATTTGAATGTCAAGCCCATTTGCTCAAGTTGTCATACAACTTGAAAACACAAAGGGCCTTAAAGCCTAATAAACCCATCAAGGCCGGCCATAGGGTGAAGGGTTGGCAAACTTGTGTTTATTGCAAGTTTGCCACTCCATTGTGAGGTGGTGTAAAGGCAACTTTATAGCCATTTCATCCCAAGGGTTTTCTAAGGGAAGAGAAGAGAACACAATGTTCTCTCTTCTCTAATGAAAGCCGGCCACCCTAGAGGAACATAGCTAGCAATCTTCCTTCCTTTAGGTCGCTCTCTCTTCATCAATGATCTCCTTGGTGTGGAAACTTAGAGGGTCTCTATTTTGGGAACTTGGAGAATCTGAATCCTTCATCCATCCAAGATGTCATCGAGCCAAGAAGCAAAGTTTCTCCATCCACATCCATGGAGTCAAGGAGCAAGGAGACTAACGAAGGAAGGCCCTCACATGGATGAATATCCTTTGCTAAGCAAAGAGGTGATTCAAAGGTATAAAAGTTTCTCAACTCTTTTCTTTAAGATTTGAGTTGAGTCTTAGTTCACCACAATTACTAGGCCTTGAATTTCATGGGTTAAGTTTTGTTTTTGAGTGCATACAAGCATGATTCTGCCTTTTAATTGTTAATAGCATGCATAGATGTTGCTCAAATGAACTTGTTTTCACAAATTTTTACTTTAAGTGGTATCAGAGCCTAGGTCTAGTAGTTGGTGAATCCTTTTGGGTTTTGTAGTTCATAGTGTTTGATTTGAATGTTGTAATTGTTACAAGCTTTATTCTTGCTTCTTTGAATGTAAATTTTGCTTGAAAATTTGCCATCTCAAATGTTGTAGATGTAGTTCATATGAGCATGAATTTTGGAGCTAAAATTTGGTGCCATGTTTATGGGGAAATTCAGCCAAATCCACATCCAAAGGGTGGATTTTTGGGTTCATGCTTGTCTTGTTAAATGTATTTTAAAGTGACTTTTGGAACCCCTAAGTACCCTAGGATGTTAACCCTCTTTTGAGTAGTGAAAAATTGATTTTTTTTTAGTGAAAACATTCATGGAGCTCTTATGGGTTTTCATCGATATTCTTCAATGTTCTTGCTTTGTTCTTGTTGTTCATACCAAGAACAAAAAGTTTGTTGTTTTGATTCAAAAATGTGTTTGGTTGTTTATTTGTTTTTGTTAAGTGATGGATGGTATGATATTTCAAACAATACCCATACTTCTTTCACTATTCACACCATACCAATCACTTACAACTTTCAATCACCTTTCAAACACACAAATCAACTTACACACACCATCACCACTCACCATGACCGGTCACCCCTATAATGTGGGTACTTTTGGGGCTTTTATGCAATTACATAAAGTTTTGATACTTTTGTGTATTTGCACTTTGACCTGAAAGTTTACGTTTTTACGAAAATACCTAAAATCACTAAAGGACAAATTGTTTTGCTCCTTTAATGAAGTTTTTGCATTTGTTGAAAATTTTAGGTTCTAGTTGTAATTACATGAAGTAGTGGACTTTTGTGTGTTTGCAAAGTGATCTCAAAAGTTGTGTTTTGCAATATAGCCCAACGGTTAAGGTTATTGCATTTTGGCCCAAATTAGTTGAGAACAAAATAGTTTTGTATCTTTAAATGAGAATTAGATTTTCATTTCATTTAGCTCAATCTAAATCAATTCTATGGATAAAAAAACCAAATGACAATGTTGCATTCAAGTTTAATTTGTTAAAGGTTTTATTAATTAAAGAAAGGGTATTATGAACCTAAGCGTACAATAATTGAGCTATGTGAAAGGCCGTCTCTTAAATTTGTTTGAACCATGGGAATGTGTAGATTAGATTTTGCAAGTGTCAAGAACACACATTTTGAAGGTGTTCTAAATTGTTCTCCTCATATGAACTACCAAAGAAATTGGAAACAGAAAGATTGTCTTTACATTGCAATTTGAATAAGGAACTTAATTCCGTCACTATAAGAGATGGATGAATGTTTTGTTTGACAAAACATTGTTCTTTATTAATGAATGATTGGATTATTGTAATCTGATTGTTTGTCTCTATAATAGAGATGATGTGGTAGTGTAAACTATTTAGAATATAACGATGCTTAAAACCCAAAAAGTTTCGGTAGTAACTAATCCCACTTAGTTGTGAAACCTCTAAAACATAAATTACAAGTTGGTCATAGATGGATGCTTTGGATCGTTAGATCCTGATCCAATGCCTTCTTGTTAAAATTGTATAGATGCGAAATGTTCAAATCTTTATTCTTTTGAAAAGAAGAAAGAATCACAAAGTTGATGAGGTTAATTCAATTAAATGTTAAGTGGCACTTGTCCACAACATAATACTACTCATGTTGTATCACATTCACCGAAGATCGTTCTCGGTAGGACTATCGTTTATTTTGAATAAACACAAGTCCGAATACTTTGCAAAAGGTTTCAAAGAATTCAAGAATGTAAGTTGATGAGTAAGACGTCTAAAGTATTTACCTCCTTAGATTTGATCCAAGGAAAAATAACACTTTAGAAGAGTTTCCTTGAAAGATATAAAGGAAAGTAGCATCAAATACCCATATATAGGATATATACTTCTAAGACAATATGATTGTCAATTAGAAGAACTTCCAAAATTTTCATGACTCCATAGGATGTAGTTGAAAGAAAGACAAGTCTTAAGCACGTTAAGATTTGAGGTTGTGTGCTAACAAGCAATATTTGTTTGAACAATCTTGTGGGATATCCTTAAATTAACCTTTGGATATCACTTCTATAAACTAACTAACAAATGTTATTTGTTGGGTAGTTCATTGTAATCCTACAATAGGATTTGCCCAAGATAGAGCAAATGAACGAGAGATAGAACTTAAAGAATGGGTTCTTTGAGAGATAAGATGATAATCAACAAATATAACAACCTAGTTCCTACACCACTAGCTCCACGATAGTCGAGAAGGATTTATAAACCATCACAGTTGAATGGTTTGAACTTTATGACTATGGACTCGTTTGGATGTGCTTTTAGAATGACTAAAAGTGTTTTTAGAAAAAAAATGTTATAGGTTTCAAAAGCACTTAAAGTGCTTTATGCAAGAAGCACCAGTTATGTGCTTCTTCCAAGAAGCACTTTAAGTGCTTTCGCAGGATTTACTTGTATTTTTACTAAAGATTGGTTCTAACAGGATTTTCACCAAAAGTGCTTTCAATCATTTTAAAAGCACATCCAAACAAGCTATATGTCATAAAGTTACACTTCTTAATTTAAAGGAATTAAGAATGAAAATCCTTATGACTACATTAAGTGTATATATGACATATACTCAAGGAAATGGTATAGTACCATTTGACCTGAAATAGTGAAACATTCATAGCTAATTGGTAGCTTAAGATGACTACAATGAACGAGATTGGTTGACTTGGAAGAAACCATCCCTGATGTAGTCTTGGTTTATATTAATTCAAAGATTGCTAGCTACAACTAAACAATGATTCAATGTTTGGACATAATATGGGTTTCCGGAACCATTATCAAGATAGTCTTGATAATATATGTCTAAGACTAGGAATCACAAGACATGTAAGTTGTAGAGATCCATCCATCATGAATCTAAGCAAGCTAGTGGGAGCTATAAGCGTCTTATGAAAGAAAGATCAAATCGTTTGATTTCTCATAAAGATGTAAATGAATCTTTTGTTTACTAGGTTTACAAAATATTAGCGGGAGTTAATCATATTCCTAAATTTGAACATATATATGATATATTAATTTTGGAAATGAAAGGAATTCTTCTTAGTTAAAGTTATGACTTTAAACATTCTATAACGATAGAATGTATATGGGAGACGTAGTCTATATACAAGGGATGTAAATCTATAATGATAGATTTCAAGATATAATTGGATTATCTCAATCCCTATTGATAGATGATAGATGTATGAAGTTTCTCGAATGATAAACTTCAAATGAAAGGACAATTCCAGTCAGACTGGGAGTTGCTATTCTAAAAGGGAATGTACCCTTTTGATTCCCAAAGAAGCATAAAGCGTAAATAGAATCCTTTATGCATACGCAGAAAGGTGATTTACGTATTTCATATTTTTGAAAAACATTGATATGAGTTGTG